GCACACCATAACACATTAAAAAAATATCACCAGACTGCCCAGACAAGTTAATTAGGGTTGTTTTCAACTCACATTTTCTCAAACTTAATTGGTTTCAAGCTGATAAATGAGTCATACAATGATTGGGATTTACTCAAAAAATGGTTCATAATGAGGTCCCCAAATATTTGTCCTGCTACTTTAATCACTTCAGAGACAATCATAACTACTAAACAAGACATATAACCTCTTGTGGTTTCAGTGATTCATAATTATTGAAAACCCTGTTGTGTTGGCTGTTTTATAATGCTATTGACAGCTAACTCCTCACTCCTCTTAACCAGCTGGTAAGGGCTGCGAGTTTTCTGGAAACAGCCTTGGCTAAAAACAGCAAGGCCTAACCATCTGCTGCAGACCACATTCTGGCCATCGTCATGGCTCGAAAACTGACATCAATAAAAAAGTTTGGTCTCAAAAGATCCCATTGGCTTTTTGACAAGATAACAGGGTGACGCTAACTTCTACATCAGCCTACAGAAAAACGTCATCCTTGGAGCACTCTATACAAGCTGTCAGAGTAAGCATGGTGCCCACACTGTAACTAACTCCACTCCTTGGAGAAATATTATATTTGTGGAGAAATGAAAGAGTGATTCCAGAGAGAAGCAGACAGAGGGGTCTACAGTCTGTGTTTGAAGGATATATCCAGGATGTCAAACTGACTCAGCAGCAACAACAGGTTAAAAAGACAAAGATAGTTAGAAGCTAAAGCCGAACTATAGGCTACAGATCACAGTGTGAAAGTGAACCACCACATCACTGCTGATCGCCACACAAGACAATGAATATATAAAGGGAAACTTTGCTGATATTGAACCAGCTGTGTGCCATCACAGTGTGTGCAGATGAACAGTGTTTGGCTTCACCCCGTGCCGCTGCAAGTGGACATCTGCCGCCAGACAGGCAGGGATTTCTGGGGGAAGTCAAACATCGTTCATCTGTGCACAATGAGGTGAGTTTTTGGGACAGGGAAGAAAAGTATTTTTTCCACCCTCTCCAGGGAACCAGTATCAGTAATACACCGGAAGCATTTCAGAAGCAGAGCAATTTGCCTACCAGATTTTGTAACGTTTGTTGATTTGGTAATTTTTCTTTGATATTTGTGCTTCTTTCATAAATAAGTAGGAAAATGTTTTTTTGTGTGTGTATTTTAGTTGTGTTTATTTTTGTTATTTCCTACTTTGTTGTACTGAAGCCTGCAAACAAAGTCAATACTATTAAAAGTCCAGTTACGAACGATGTGGATCAAAGATTTGTGGCTGTGTTTTAGTTATTAAAAATACATTCGTCCTCATGATTATATTGTATCTATATTTCACATTTAGTGCCCGTTAGCAGGAAAACTTGATCTGCTCTGAGCAACGCACCCTAGCTACATCAAAAGCCACAGCGAAGGAATTTTTCTTTTATGGTTTCTACACATCTTGCCAAAGGACTGCAGTTGAAAATTAGCCAGAAGGCTAACACTGGCACATCGACAGAAATGCTGATTAATATGCGTCGTCCAATAAATAAAATAAATGAAATGTAATGAAAAATAGACAAAGTGTGCATTTTTCTTAGCTTTCGGGATGCTTCTGAAACACACTGCAGTGCCTCTGTTGGAATTGCAAGAACTGTCAAGAGTGGCTGCAGATAGCTCGGGTGCAGACCTGCACTCTACTCGGTGCACTTTTCTAGTTCAGCAGGTTCTCTCTCATTAAAAGTGCCAGTCTGTATTTGATGTCCAAGAATGAGCAGGACAATATGTTCAAACCTGAGAAACAGCAGCAACCCTGCTCTCATTTGACATTAAATGGAAACCCATGTGACTGATGCAAAGAAGACTGAAACAAAAAGCAAACCACCGTCCTGACAATCACTCTTACACACCTGGGGCAGGGCGGGGCTACACGATGAAGGAAGCCTGGTTTGCCTTAGTCCCTTTCAAATGTACCTCATTTCATATGTTTTTTTCTTATTCCATAATCTGCAGGCAGATGAATTAAAAACATTATAACACCCCGAGCGCAGCGCTGTCAGAACATACAGCTCATCATCTGAGAAACTGCTTTCTGATTTATGTAGATCTCATATTAAAGCCCCACTGTGAAGCAGACCTCATGTATTATTCACAGCAACGGCCATGCGCGCGTTTGTATGTGCTATATAAATGTGTGTGTGTCGTATTCTGTTGCATCTGTTTCTGACTCATCACAGGCACAGTGGATTACTAAGCAGAGAGAGAGAGTCAGAGGGAAGCAGACTGGGTTACAGAGACAGGGACAGTAAGACATAGTGAAACTAAAACAAGGCAGAGAAAAGAAAACAGTCAGACTTAGTTAGAGATCATCGTCACAGGGTTTTGGAAATATAGTTGTACTGCAGATGTGGATAGAGAGTGGAATAATTTGATCATGAGTACAACATCTTTATTATTGTTCATGTACTTTAACCTAATAATCCATGCTGCTTTTATTGAGGTAAATGCCTATTTTGCTCTTTTATTGCTCATTAATTGACTGATTAAACTGACTGCATCCCCAGTTCGTTAAACCTCAAACACCCTGGGCGTGATGGATAAAAGATGCATACGGACAAAAAAGAGAAAGAACTTACAGTGACCATATTTGTGAGGGCTGTCTTCGAGTTTCATTCATGAGTCGCAGTTTGTACATATGACTATAAAAGCTACATTTACCAGCTTCATTTAGAACTTTTTAGAAGCATTTTCCACATTAAATGCAGCATTTTATTTCCCTGTTTAGATGTTTACTGATGACATGTGTAAGCATATTTCATTTTTCATGCATCTTTCCCCAGTGCGCGCATTTATTCAGTGTCAAACAGGAAATTAAGCTGTTATTAACTTCAGTTTGTTGGGATAAAAATCTGAGGAAGGCTTGGTCACGCAAAGAAACAGAAACTAGATGGTCATTAACACGAGGCAGGACATTGCTGATGTAACTGCAGTGCAAAAACAACCCAGCAGGGATAACAAAGAACAAAAAATGGAAACAAAATATCTGAATGACTGCATAATCTTTTCTGTGATCTTCACTTAAAATGATTCATATGTGAGCTTCCCAGCTCCGAGCATTTGTTTTTTTTTGTTCTGCTTTGATGTACAGTAGCAGTAGCATGGTGTAGCTCAGCGGAGAGGAGCAGGGTGACAGCTTCAGAGTCGAGGTTTTATCCCTCTGTTCTGGTTCACTTAGACTAAATGCACCCCAGATGGAGAGAACAAAAGGTGTTTGTTTTGTTGTTTTTACAAGACAGAGACAAACAGTGAAGGAGGAGGGAAGGGAAAAGGGAATAAAGCTGGAAACAATGAAGATTGTAAGGCTGATCAATAAAGTGATACTTTGAGTTCTTTTACTATACTTTACTGCATTTAGGTCCACATGTCACTGCAGCGTGCGTCTCTATGGAATCACTTTACCTATAATTTGCAATGTTGATACCAAAACTGCACATCCACACTTCAAGCATTAATTACACACATAATTACTTTGCTTAAAATATCCGAGGCATCAGCTGCAGATAGGTGAAGTCCACAGGAAACTACAAACATAAATACCTGCAGTAAAGTGGCTTTAAAGGGATAGTGCACCCAAAAATGAAAATACAGCCATTATCTACTCACCAATATGCAGAGGGAGGCTCAGGTGAAGTTTTAGAGTCCTCACATCACTTGCGGAGATCCAAGGGGAGAGGAGGTAGCAACACAACTCCACCTAATGGAGGCTGACAGAGCCCCAGATTCAAACATCCAAAAACACATAATTGAAACCACAAAATATCTCCATACTGCTCGTCCGTAGTGATCCAAGTGTCCTGAAGCCCCGACATAAAAAGCTGTTTGGAAAAATGTCATTTGAACTCTGTTTTTAGCCTCATTGCAGCCTGTAGCTCTGACTGCCTCTCTGTGCACTGCCCTCGCGTGTGTGCACTTGAGCGAGACCGTGAGACATGGGCACCGCGTTCATGTGTGTTCACGTGCTTTTGCTGGTCTCACGCTCTGTACAGAGAGGCAGTCAGAGCTACAGGCTACAATGAGGCTAAAAACTGAGTTTAAATGACGTTTTTCCAAACAACTTTTTATGTCGGGGCTTCAGGACACTTGGATCACTACGGAAAAGCAGTATGGAGATATTTTGTGGTTTCACTTATGTGTTTTTAGATGTTTGAATCTGGGGCGCTGTCAGCCTCCATTAGGTGGAGTTGTGTTGCTACCTCCTCTCCCCTTGGATCTCTGCAAGTGATGTGAGGACTCTAAAACTTCACCTGAGCCTCACCTATGGGTGAGTAGATAATAGCTGAATTTTCATTTTTGGGTGCACTATCAATTTAATGAGCATGAACTCTGTAGATCATTGGTCAGTATCAATTACTTTTTTCTAATGATTTGCATCCTGATGGTAAACACATTCAAGACACACTGATGGCATCATAACTCAAAGCCCTGCAGAGTTACTCAGGCACATTTAATGTGTCTCCACTATAACTACAGAAGCCAACCATGCAAGCACTTGACCGCATCACCAACAAAGTGTTAAGTGCAATGTGTGTAAGAGACAAACTTTCACACCTGAATCCCAACAGCAGCAGACAGCAAGCAGATTAGACCTTACCATAAGTGGTGAACATGTCTCCAGTGTGACCCAAATGTATTCTAGTATAAAGTGTAAATGTAAAATGGCTGCAGGAGCATCAAAGATAGAGCTGTGACCTTGTTGTCAAAGGATCACTGTTAAACATTTAATGAATTACCCGGCACCATGAGCAGGGCAACTCAAATATTCATCATAGAAGCAATCACGCTGCTGTATTTCATGCTGGTTGAACTAATCCATCCCCTTGAAAATGGGACTGTTCATGCAGCTACAATCGTTTTTGTCTTGCTTTCAATGACAACTCAGATTCATCAGCGCGGGCGCACACGTGTTGAGATCCTAATAAAAAGAGAAAAGGTGACTTACTATGGTGAAGTTCATGACCTTGAGGATCCAGATAGTTAGCGCCAAGTTGATCAGGATCAGGATCATCAGCAGCAGGACGAAGAAGTAAAGGCAGCGTTTCCTCCAGCCGTATATTCCCACTTTGTACACTTGTGGTTTCTCTGAACTCTGGACATTGTTCCTATGAGTGCACTGTTCTTGGGTCATCTGAGAGGAGACACAGAGAGAAAAAGGAAGAAATGATTATGGCTGAGGGCAACATCTTGACCTCTCAGTTACTGATACAAAGACTCCGTCATGTCTGCAGCCTGGTTTGCACAGACTACATTATTTATTTATAAAGCTCTTATTGGGCAATTGGGCAGTGTGGGAATCAACACAGGGGATATAGTTTTATTTTAGAGTGCTACAGGGAATTTGCATTAAGTCCAAGCTGCATTACTTGCATTTATTTTGCTTCTTGTCTGCAACAAGCCGTAAACCCGACATACACATACTGTCTACTTAGAAAGCTGTGAGGTGAGCATGTCAGCAGAGTTGCCTCCTTGACATCCAGTAGTGCAACATTATCATTCTTTTAGAGCTGCACGTCCAGCATTCATTCCTTCTTCAGCTCCTACTTGGACTCTTGAGAGACATATCTGTCTATTTAGCTGCTAAATGTTCCACTCTGTTCACCAGCTAGTTGCTAACTCCGTCTGCCTGCTGTTTGGTGCTTGTGAGTAACATTAACTGCGACAATTTACAGTCGCTCTTTGTCTAGTCTGGCTGTTATGTATTCAGCCATTATTGCAACCCATCGGGCCTCCGTGGTGAAGCCACCCGTGATTGCTTGGAGATTTGTGTTGCAGCTGCAGAGACTGTGTAGATTAGGAAATGACCTTAAGATAAGAGATGGGGCTCATCTGAACATTAGTACAAATAACATGCCATAAACATTCCTCTCACATACTCCACTCCAATACTGACCAGCCATTCAGTTTGGGCACCATGAAAGACAGTTTAGATAGCAATCCCATTGATTGATTGCCCTATAAGTGGTCTATAACTCCATTATACTCCCTCTGCCCCATTGATGTGCTGATAGTGCCGATTAATGATGATTCTAATTGTCTGCCTGTGAAGACGAGGAGCATTGTTCACTTCAAGCGCCATAATAATGGCCTAATAACTCTGTGGAAAAATACAATTTACTGTCCACCGTGCTTTGGAGTGCGCGGCTCAGACCACCAAAGCCAATCGGTTTTGACAACCACACACATTACCCGCTAACTGAAACAAATGGCACAAGACAGGGGCCCGGTGAGAAAGTGCTGAAAGCTACAGAGGAGACTCCAAAGCACCAGTCAGCAAAAGCAGGGAAATCTCATTGTGTACGGTCGGATTTTCATTTTTGTTTGACGGGAGATGCAGGGAGATGAAGAGGCATATCTTTGTGATATCTAGGCTGACAGAAAAGGGGGAAATCAGTGCTGCATGAGTAAACAAAGCTTTGCTAACTTTAAATTGGAGGAAAAATAACATGAAGCTCATTAGAGTCCCCTACAGGCTGCAATGTTCATCACACCATGCAGTGCAAAAGTTTTAGTCAAGAACAACGGTGACTGTCAGAGCTGTATCTGTTTTAGTGATAAAAACACAAAGTTTTGTGGCAAATTTCTAGTTCATGTTTTTCTGTCTCTGATGAGAATCTCATTTGTAATCTCACCTACAAAGCTCTGATTGGCTCGGCTGCTTTTTCAACCAGGTAAACAGCAATCAATGAGCACAACCAGCCCAGCTGCCAGGATATGCTGTTGGCATTGTACATTTCTACAAACCACATCTATGATACATTGTTTCATATGTATGACGTACGTCAGATTACATGCATGTGAGCAAAGTTTCTCAACAGGAGGAGGTAGGGATGGTGCACGGCGTGATGCCTTCGCGAGGCAGCAGACAGCAGCAGACCTCTGTTTGAGACCAACAAAAGGAAAAGTTGGGACATTTCCAGGCAGCTTTGTTGTAACAAAAGCTCGGGACACACAGTTTGGGAGAACTGTGTTTGAAGCCGGAGCCAGTCCAGTCGCCAGAAGAAAATGTGCATATCATATAAGTGACCTCGCGTATGAGCTCACTTTGTCAGCAGCTGTCATGTCATAACATGACACACCTGCTAAGCTGCACCACTGTGCAAACACCAAACTGGTTGTGGTTTAGTGACCTGTCTCTGTTTTTCCAGTGGCTCTTTAGCCACCGAATGCAAATGTTTTCCACTGCAGATAGCGCCACATTAAGAAAATGTTTTTTGTAAATGAGAAATTGCTGCATTAGTCCTGTCCATAATGAAAGTGGTGCTGGTGATAGAGGAGAGGTAACCATGGCAAACTATCCTCTGCAGACCATGAATATTCTTTCATTCATCCATTTTTCAGAACCGCTTTTCCCGTTGGAGGTCACGGGGGGGGGGCTGGAGCGCATCCCAGCAGACACTGGGCGAGAGGCAGGGTACATCCTGGGCAGGTCGCCAGGCTAACACACAGAGACAGACAACCATTCACGTTCACATTCACACCTGCGGCCAATTTAGAGTTACCAATTAACCAGCATGTCTTTAAACCATTAATATGCACACCCAATTTTCTGGCAATAGCTGTGGAGATCATCTCGAGCTGGCTCCAAGTAAAGACAAGGTGTCTTCCCTATTAAACGAATTCTGGATTTAGTTCAATATGTTCTTTTATAATCCCTCACCCCCCAGAAGTATCTAGGCTTGATCTCACGGTTTAACAGCAGCATGCACCTGATTGCTCAAGCTGTTTGTTTGGTTCAGACTTATTCAAATACAAACATGAATACAATGACAAACAGCTGTATGAGCCAAAAGTAACCCTGGCTGTATGATCAGCTCTTTGGCAGAATCCTCATAAAGAGCTGCAGCCTGTGAGTGGGGATTAATAACGCACCTGATCCTGCATCGCACCTTCTTTTATGTTTCCATCTGCGAGCACCTGCCACAGCACAGACCTTCCAAATGTGGTTGTGAGTCATGGCAGACACACTAGGTTCACCCTGGAACAAACCGCTGTCCTGTCAAATCACCCGTTTGAACAGGATCCAGTTCGGCTGACAGGGCTACTCTGACATTTGTTTACACCAAGGAGTTTGATAATGAAAAACCACACGCACAAGATTCAAAGACTGACAGACAGGTTTTCCATTTCCTCTCTCTAGATTTGTTTTTTTGATTTTTTCTGCTGTGGTGCGACAGGCTCAGATAACTGACCCTGAAAGTGATAGGAAACTGAAACTTCAAAATGAAACAGATCATGTCAGTTAAATTTGGTAAGCTGATGGCAGAGAGAAAAATGAAAAAGTCGTATAACATTAAAGTTTTGAGACAAAGTTTTGGAGAACAGTACTGAATAAATCCCTAACATGTGATAAGAGAAATGAGGACATATGACCCTGAATTCTGAGTTAACTAACCATGGGATGGAAAACTCAAGAGTTTTCAGTTCCAGACAAGCTAATCAGAGTCAGTTAAATCATCACGAGTATGTGCACCCTGAATTAGGACTGTGCTTCTGAGGCTAAAAAAATGCAGCAAATGCGGAGGTGCCAAAAACTGCAGTTCCTTGAATGGCCACTAGATGCTTTTTCCAAAACAGGGCAAATCCCCATAGACCCCAATATTAAAATGCAAAACTTTAAAGCAGAAATAAACATGTTTAAAGCCCAGTACAAAAAATGGTTTTGGTCTCTGAAGCTAATTTCAACATTCATGTCAATTGTAAGGAGGGTGAATTTTTTTCACCCATTTACATTTTATCAAGGCCCAACGTTATGCATATTTAAGAGGGGGGCGGCTTAAGTGATGGGCTTGTCTGCGAGGTGTTGGTACAGTTTAAGAGTCAGATCCACCCCTCGCTCCTCCACAGCTCCCTTATCCAAATATGCTCACTTCTGGCTCTCCAAAAAAACCAAGATGGCAACAGCCGAAATGCCGAAGTTGAGTTTTAAAACGGCAGTCCACAAACCAATGGGTGGCGTGATAGTAGCGACAGCCATTATTTGTACAGTCTATGGCTCGTGCGCAGTAGCAGTAGCTCCGATACTACAATTCACCATTGCAACAAGTCAATAAAAGGGAGAACCTCCATTTTAATCCAGTGGATTCAGAGATGTTAATGCATGTAGGCCTATATGTGGACTGTGCATGCTTATCTTTAAGAACAAAGTGTGTCAATAAGTGAACACAATCAAGTTTCATATCACCACATGTCATCACAATGGCATAACATGTCAACAACAGCCATTTACTGTCCTTGTTATATGATGGCAAATCTCGCCCTCTGCTCAGAGGGTAAGGAGCTACCGGACTCATTTTTTCCCCAATTTGCCGACTATAGGCCCGTTTCCACTGCAGGAACTTCAGGGTAATTTTACGGGGCCGGGGCCGTTGGTGCGTGTCTCCACCGCAGGAACCACCCCCGAAGGACAGAGTTCCGGAACTTTTACAGGGGCTAAACAAGTCCCTGCCTCGGAGTAGGTACTCAGAACGGCCCCGAAAAACTCCTGATTGGGCTTGGGGTTTACTTGGTGCTGACTGGATTTACTCAAGGCAGGATGTGACGTCAACAGAAAGCGACAAAATAGCCAGCGACGCCCCGGTCAAAATGGTCGCGCAATGATTACGTCACATCCAGAGCCCGGTAACTTTACAGGAACCTTCCTCCTACTCCGCTCTCTCAGTGGAGACACGGCAGTTGAGAAGGCCGAGCGAGAGGATGTTCCTGTAAAGTTCCTGCCCCCCAAATAGTACCAGGAACTTCTTCATCTATTGACGGCTGCTGTTCTTCTTCATGAGTTAGCCGCTAATTGCTAACAGCTCCTTTTTAACTCTCCCATGGTGGGTCTCACGCGTAACACATCGTCAAAACGTCACACCCGCCCTGCCTATGGTCTCATCCTGCTGGCTGTCCTGTTTATACAGACACTGTTCCTGCGCTGTTCCTACCCCCCATGGTGGCTTAAAGGCGAGACCACTCTGTCCCCCCTTTTCCACGATTGTACCTTAAATACAGCACAACTAAGCAGCATCATGGCGTGATATTCCTGCCTTCAACAGGCAGTGTAAAAGGGGCTATGATTATAAGCCAACAATCTGATCCAGTAATAATGTGGTTGGTGATTTGCACTTGAAAGGCACGGAAGTTAAAATG